CGGAGGAGGAGGAGGGGGCTGCCGCAGCCGCCACGACTGCCGGCCCGAGGCGCGTCGAGGTTCCCCGGCCCCCCTCCATCGAGGAGTTCACCATCGTGAAGCCCATCAGCCGCGGCGCCTTCGGGAAGGTGTACCTGGGCCGCAAGGCGGGCAGGCTCTACGCCGTGAAGGTGAGGGGCCGCGCGGGGCGCCTCCCCGCCCCCTGCGGCCCCCCCCCCGCCCCCTGCGGCCCCCGGGGCCCCCCTCGCTGCCCGCTGCCGCCCTCCGCTTTCCTTTAACCCCGCGTGGGAAAGAGACGTCCCGAGGGGACAGGGAGGCGCCCCGCGGAGGGCTGCCCCGGCAGGCCCGTGGGCCGAGTCCCCCAGCCTCCGGGCACCGGGGCTTTCGGGGAGCTGCCGCTCTTGTGGCAGGAGCCTGGTGCCTGGAGATGTGCTGTCCGCACGGCTGTGCTCAGCTTTCTCCTCGCCTTCCTCTTCGCCTGGAGGCTTTGGCTGGGAGGCATCTGATAACAACTGCTTTTAAAAGTGCCTTAAATGTCGAGGGAGCTACGCCAAAAGCCTTCCAAAGCGTCAGTGTGCTATTTGCTTCTTGCTTGTAAATATTTGTTATAACTGAATGCGTTCAGCTGTCGTGCCCCTGGGGAGGGCGCTCTCACATTTGTTCGTGAATGAAAAGTCTGCCTCCAAGATGTATAATGAGAGCAAATTATAAAAAGGGTTTTTGCTGAGTACACATTTAAAAAAAACCTTGCATTTTCTATGTTGGTACGCAAAGGACTAAAAAGTAGGCTTGTCAGTAGGAAAAACTTTACTGATGGTTTGTGCAAGCTTGACTTTGCAATTAAAAGGATTATAACCAGCTGCATAGCACGCAAAGAAAAGGAAATGTAAAAAAAAAAAATGTAAAAAGTCATTCAAAATAGACATTGCTCTTCAGAGCTACATATGTCTACTTAATGACTTATAAGCATTTTGAGGTGAAAGCTTTTGTGTAAATCCTTTATCACTATTGCAGTGGAGTTTATGGATTGTTCACAGCTACAACGTTTAACGTGCTAAATATTTGTACACTTATGGTCAACACTAATTAAAAGTGTAGTTCTATGTATTTTGTGTATGCCTTGAATTTTTTTTTTTTTGTATCAACTTTGATAATAGTGATTGTAGCTGTGGAAAATAGTTTTCTACAGTTTAGGTGCTGCATATAGAGTGGTTCAGTTGTGTTACTGTAGTATCTTACACAAGTTTATGGAAAGTATTGTGACCAAAAAGCTTTCATGTAAATCCTTTATCCCTATTGCAGTGAGATTTATGGATTATTCAAGCTACTGAGTTTAACATATGCTAAATACTTTTACAGTTAAGGTCAACACTTACATAAAAGGTATCAAATTACACTTCTTATATCTTGCTATTTTTATATATTATCAAATTCTGCTATTGAATGGTGCCAGTAGCTGTAGACTCAACTTCTTAGAGTTGTGTTGCATAGAGAGTGGATAAATTAAACTTGCTTTAATATCACCATACATATCCAGACCAAAGACGTTGAAGGTGGGCAAGCTTTCAATGCATATGCAATGCTTGCCTAAATACCTATCAGCTGTGCTATTATTCATCTTCTGTTCAAGATTAATATTGAGTGGGCATCAACATATGGTGGAGTAAGTCAATACATGAATGAACTGGAGCTTAATTCACAATTAAGCTTGTTATTTCTTCAATGTGAGTTGCATGCCTTTGAGGCTTCATCCCAAGGAAACAAATATTTGTTGGGTGACTTGATTATAAATTTTAAATGAAGCAAAAAATTCACTTGCTTTCTCTGCAAAGTTAAGAATTAGGGGCTGGAATAGTTGCAGTCTTGCTCTTGAGGACACCAAGATGGGATGGCTTACTGCTGCACTCTATTTCCAATCCTCAGGCCACATATCTCGGCCTCTGAAGCAATGGAAAGACTTGGTCAGCAAGCATGTATCTAAACATTGAATGCTTTTTTTCCTGGTTCTGAGTTGTGTACTGTGGATAAGAGGATTAACTCAGGGCAGTGTAACTTCACATACAGCCTAAACACTCATTTGCCAGTGTGTACAATTGCAGTAAATATTGGTAGTGTGATTTCCATTCAGGACTGAATTAGAAGGAGAGCAATGAAAAAGGTTCTCTAATAACCTGTGTATATGAAGTTATAGCTCTGTTTTATATATGTGTGTGTATATACACATATATATATGCAAGCTTAAAGTATAGAGATCATAGAATGGTTTGGGTTGGAAGGGACCTTAAAGATCATCTAGTTGCAACCTCCCCTGCCATGGGCAGGGACACCTTCCACTAGACCAGGTTGCTCAAAGCCCCATCCAGCCTGGCCTTGAACACTTCCAGGGATGGGGCATCCACAACTTCTCAATAAATGAATTGACTAAAGAACTGTGGGTTGAGCAAAGAAAAGAATGTTTATCTACTTGATTTTGTTTTGTTTTTCAGGTGATGAAAAAAGCAGACATGATCAACAAAAACATGGTTCACCAGGTCCAGGCAGAGAGGGATGCATTGGCTCTCAGTAAAAGTCCTTTCATTGTGCACTTATACTACTCGCTTCAGTCAGCTAATAACATCTATTTAGTGAGTAAATAAATGACTGTGGTGTTTTATGATAGTGTTGAAAATGGAGTGCAGAACTATATTCATGTCTGAAAATGTATTTTTATGGTAGTGAGTGGGTATTCCTTAATCACTTTTACTTTCTTCTTTCTCAGAGTGGTTGAACAAGTGAAATATTTATCTTCCCCTCATACCTTTGAGATCTTTCCACCTGTGTTCTTTTTTTTCTTTTTTACAGAAGTCTTTTCTAATAGCTAGTCTGTCTTAGGAATATGTAGAAATCTTGGGGAAAACAAAGCAAGAAACCATTCTGTTCAAGCAGAATCCAAGTGACCAAAAGATACCCTGTGGCTCACTTAGAGGAAATCTGTTTTACTTGTTGCCTGTACTCAAAATTCATTACAGTAGTTGGGCTAGATGACAAGAGGATAACTGAGTGGCAAAGCAAAGTGCTAGTCTATATGGAGCACTGTGGAGTTCAGTAGGACTTGAATATGGTTTTATGTACTGCCTCCACATAAAGGCAGTATGGATTAAGTCCCCTGTCTACAAAGGGTCTAGTGTAATTTGCCTAATTTGCTGTAAGCACACACAGTGAACAGCTTGATTAAATTCTGAGGTGAGGTTGCTGTGCACTCCTACAGTACATTTTGAGTGTAAATGAAGGCTTCTTTTCCTGGAATCTCTGTTAAATGCTGAATGGAGTAGAGGAGTTCAGGGGGGAACGATTTGTAAAGGAGATGCTAGAGTCATATATATGGAATAGTATTGTATATTGGAATCTAAGTACTGGTGAGATTTCTTGACCAAAACCCCATCAATTCATTCTTGTCATTGAAGAATGAGTTTCTAAAACCTCTCTGACTTTTCTTTTATCTTGAATAGGACATGGGCCATAATAATGTGTGGGTTTACGTAAATTTTTTTTTAATGTGTGTATTTTTTAAACACTTTTTCATGTCTTATATGCACAGTTGCTCTCACTGTATACATTTCTGGAAATTTGCACTTATTTCACAGGGCTCAGGTCTGAATTTAATGTTGTCTATAAACACTTGAGAAATAAAATCATTTAGATGCCTGTTCTATACAAATGAAAATATCAGTGGTCTTTGCCTTCAGGCCTTGAGTTCCACATAAGTGCTTTGAAATTTATTTTCTATAATATAAAAATCTTTCAGAAGTTAATTAAAAAACTGACTATAGTAGTTACTTGAGAGCTGACTACAGAAAGTAGGCTAGGCAAATAATATAAAATAAGTAAATGGTCTATTAAAAGAAAATGTTTCATGTCCTCTGTCATCTGAAGCTTTAATTATTTTATCCGAGTGAAAAGTATTGTGTGGTAAATTAAGTTCGCACAAGGAAGCTTCTATCAGCTTCCGCTCTTTGAAATTATATTTTCCTAGGGGTGAAAGCTATTTTATATTTTACTTGCAAATTTGAAATGTGTTTTTAAAATGTTCAATTTAAAACACTTGAATGGCAGGTGATGGAGTACCTTATTGGTGGAGATGTCAAATCTCTTCTCCATATTTATGGATATTTTGATGAAGAAATGGCTATTAAGTATATATCTGAAGCAGCATTGGCTCTTGACTATCTTCACAGGCATGGGATAATCCACAGGTAAAACATACGTTGTTTTTTTTTCTTACAAATAAGTATTTGGTAGTTTGGGTTATTACTTTTTCACTTGAACACATAACCAATCACCATTTCATAGTAACAGCTACCTCATTTGCTAGAGCTTCTGGAAGCTCTTTTTGCACGTGTACACTGCAGCAATGTCATGAAACAACACCTAAAATAAAATCTGTCTATATATGTTAAGCAGACAAATATACACTGCTTTCCCCTGCCTGCCTGCTCTTCCCCCAGTACAGTGGTGTATTAGCAGCTATGCTGCCTTCTAGGTCCCCTCTCCCTGTGGCTTTTAAATGACTCTTCGTTCAGGAACCCTCTGGATACTGCAAGCATATAACTAGGACAAAGGGACATTGGCTGCTCTAATGCTCCCCCTGTAGCGAGAGGTCTTTGCTGCATTCAGTAGTACTACAGAGAACACACGTGGAAACTCTTACTAGAGCTTTGCTTGTCATGTGTACTGTCATGTGTAGGAGCTACACATTAGTAAATGTTGTGATGGTAGTACTCATGAAGAACACTTATTAAACCTGCTGAAATACAAAACGTGCAACTTTTCTGATATGCGTGGTGGTTTTAGAAGGTCTGAGACATTTGTACAATATTTAGTGCTAGATATGTTTAATTGTTTTGGTGTATTCTTCCAATTGGAATCTTCTGCTGGCTGAGAGATGTTACTGAGAAACAGCTATAATCAACGTATTTTGTATTGAGTATTTCTGGTCAGTTAACTTTCTTAATATTGGTCAGTTATCTTTTTGCTGACTTCAACTATATCCATTTCTTCAGGGATCTGAAGCCAGACAACATGCTCATTTCTAACCAAGGCCATATAAAGTTGACAGACTTTGGGCTTTCCAGAGTTACTTTGAACAGAGGTAAGAGTTGCCTGTATCCTTTTGGTTGTATTAGAATGTATTTTTGTGTCACATTCCCATATTCTTGAATGCTTTCCATCCCCATAGAGGGGGGCTTTCAATTAAATAAGCCCAAATGTTGCACCTAATATCTGATTTCTAGTAGGTAAGTACTGATAAGGTATATGCTAGTAAAGGATCTGCTCTATGCATTGCACTTCAGAAGCTAAGGTATTTATTCTTTGGGACAGAGGTGTATGAAGTATGATCTAGAGCCATTTCTCTTGAGGGGTATGGATTTCAAAGTATTCTATGAAGTCACTAAGAGAATTCAATGGGTGAATGAATAATTCTGGCTTTTTCTTGGTGTTTCTCTGGCTATTTCTGTCCTTTAGTCATGTTTCTCTGTCCTTGTATATATTAATTTCCAACCTGAACTGGGACCTTCCAGACATTAACGTGAAGGACAGGGAGGTGGTGAGTCCCTAACAGAAGATTATAGATCAGTGCTTTAGCATATGAACACACTGTTTTCAGGTAGCAGAAAATATAGCTGAATAGTTAAATGGCTCTATGGCACTGGCAATAGGCTGCAGGTCTTAAGGTGAATAGCCAGTTCCTGAACTAGTTTGTGCCTCCAGCCCCTTAGCTGTTATCAGCCAAAATAATGCTGCAAAGCACCAGTTTGTTTTTTTTGAGACAGCTGCTGGCAGGTACATCCTTTTTATATAGTTAAAGGGATGTAGAAATTCAGAGTTGTCTATGGAGTTTCTGATTCATGGTTTTAAGAGTATAGAGGAAAATCCTGAGTATGCTGTGTTTTCTATAATATAATGCTTTAATTGATAAGTTCTAATGGGACAGATTATTGTGTCTAGCTGAATGCGATATGTAAGCCATAAGCCTACTTACCTCTAGTGAGCAAAAAATGGCATCTAAGGTTAAATTTTTACCTATGAAAAACTTGTCTGGTTCGGTTTTTTTTTTTTGAGATATCTTTGGGAGAGAAAGCAGGCTTTGAATCAAATTTACCATCTTAGCCCACAGGCCGTAGGCTGGAATTGCTACCTAAAAACCAAAGCTGGTATCAAGTTAGAAAATGTAACGCTTACAAGATAGTATGTTGGGAAAGACTCTGGACTTTTACAGTTTCTGTATTTGTAAACTGTAATTTTGTGATGGATGTACAGGAAGAAACAGCTTGTGTTGAATAAGAATGTATGGGTATGTTTTCCCTTGGGTTTGGTGGCTTCTTTTGTATATTTGTTCAGTATGTGACTAAATTTTCCCTCTTGACAAAACTTAAGTAAATGCCTGTAACTTTTCTTATTTAATAGCAGAAGGAAAACCTGATCTGCTTTGTATTTTTTTTTTGTCTGTTTGTAGAGATAAATATGATAGATATTCTTACTACACCATCAATGGCAAAGCCAAAACAAGACTACTCACGTACTCCAGGACAATTGTTGTCTCTCATCAGTTCTCTGGGTTTTGTAAGTAGTTTTCACTCTTTGAAGTACTTCATTCTTCTGGTTTACTGACTATTTAGTGGTGGACCTGGCAGTGCCAGGTTAACAGTTGGACTTGATGATCTTAAAGGTCTTTTTCAACCTAAATAATTCTATGATTCTATCTTAAATGTAATAATAGGAGTGATAAGGCTATTCTTGCACCTCTTCTGCCAGCTGGTAGAATGATTTATATGTTTGCAGTACCTTGAAGTTCTGAAGTGATTACCTTGGACTATATTTCAAATTGCTGACTATCAGTTGTGCTTCAAAAAATTTGGTGAATGGGCATGGCTAAGCTCCAATGCAAACGTGATAAAGAATGTGTGAGGTTACACTCTCAATCCTGGATGTTTTGTTCAGGCTCCATTAACTTTTAACTATGCTTCTTCCTGCTTGATAGTATACTCCTGTTGGAATGAAAATGCCAGGGTGCAATTCAAGTCAATCATCTGACAGTCTGCATGGAGTGGTTTCTCCCTTACCTATAGTCCAAAAGGAAAATACCCCTCTTTCAACTAAATTATTCAAAACATGTGAGTATACAAAGCCTTGTACTAAGTAATACTTGGCTGTAAGGTTGTGGTCTTTTAATTTCATGAGAGTAGCTTGGGCCCACTTGATAAAAGGTGTGCTTCTATCAGTGACTTGCTGTCTACCATTCCCCCAGTACTTAAGGTCTGACATGTTTTCACCTACACTACTTATGTCATCTTTTGACTTTTTTCAAATGCACAACCACTGAATTCAAATGACCCTTTAAGATTTTACAGAAATAGCGTCAATTCTTGGCATGCTTTCATTGAAAACTATTTAATATAGCAATGTGTGCTTTCATTTAAATTGTCTTACCTTCTGATTTCTAACCTGAAATAAGAAAGAAGGCTATTATAGTGTTAATGTTCATGTGGCTTTTAAATTCTTGGCAAGTCCCTACTTCAAAAAAAAATAAGTGAATTGACTATGCAGGAAAGATGACAAGAGAAATTATGATGTCACGCATAGATTTCCATAACTTCCTTTGGTGTGAAAGCTTGACATAGTGTGAAGCTGTCTAATATATGTTGCTTGTTTCTATCAACATTTGAATTTTTTTTTCCCTCTTAAGATCTTGATACTTCTCAATTAACTCCTGTGATGCCAGTGAGAAGCTTAACTCCTACTCTTCTTCAATCAAGAAAAAGGTTTGGTACCTCCAGTGCCAGTAGTCAGTCACACACATACCTTTCCAGTATGGAATCAGAATGCTCCAGCAGCTCCAGGTGGGAGAAAGATGTAGAGGTCAGGACTGTTTCATCTTCCCACTATAAATGAAAATTAGTTTGTACTTGTATATGCACTGTTGCAGATCTCTTCTACTTACTTCCCCCAGTTATTTCCACATGTAGAGAAGCCTTCCTACAGGAGAAGGAGCTGGGATTGTAATCCTTGATGAATAGGAGTTTTGGATCAAACTAGCATTATTTTTTCTTCAAAAAAAAGTAGTCCTGTGCAACATAACAGGAAAAGCAAATGCCGTTGAGCCTGCAGCAAAGAAGTGAAAGAGAAGGCTTCTACTGGGTGGCACTGGTTTAGCCCTATTCCTCATAAAGTGGGCAATGCTGAGGGCACTGGCTCTTTGGAAGCTGACCTTATGCCTATAGCTTTATTAGCTCAGCATGCAGACAAAAGAATTTCTGTACAAGGCAGAACTTGGGAAAAATAATAAACAAAATACATTTCAAACTTCTACTAGCTATTAAAAACTGTAAAGTTTAATGTTTGTATTACTGAAGGGTTTTGTATCAACTAACCTAACACCAGTAATTATAGCTGATACAAAATACTTCCTCCTATTTTAAACTGTTAATGACATTCTGTACAAATACAGACCTAAACGAAAATGCTGCCATGCTATTTACTCCCTTGCCGTGATTCCTATTTAGATCACACACAAAAACTTATGTTTAAAACAATTTATAATTCTTTGTTTTAACTGTCCATTTCCCAAGGCCTTGTTTTTAGTATTGTGATACCAAAATAGTAGTAATATCAGACTTTCATTTCGTCATCTTTGAAGTATAATATGCCACAGGGTAGTATGATGGGGTTCTTTGATCTGGGGTTTCTTGGAAACCGAGAACTTCCGTGGCTTAACTTTAACATAAAATTACAAATACAACTTTAACTACTATATTTCTTCATCCTCAGGCATTTAAAAATACTGCATTTTCTACTGTATTCTAGCAAGCTTATTTTATGGTCTTAAAAAAAAGTCAAATTATCAAATTATGCCTAATTTAGTTTTGATTTTTTTAATGTATTATGTCACATTTGTCACTACCAGTGGTTTTAAAGAATAAATAATGCTTGCCAATTTGCAGTTCTTCATGGAAGTGGAAATAAGGTTATTTTAAAGGACACATTTCTATAATGCTTTAATCCTGTTTTTCTTGATACTCAAAATTTAATGTGCTCATTTGCAGCAAAGTGAAGATGACCTATGTTCTGCAACAGGCAAAACAAGTAACAGTGGGTCAGCTCTTTCAAATGTACAATTACTGAATAGCAGAGGTATTAAAGTTTTAAAGAAAAAAGAACTGGAGTCTGCCATTTCTCCCATCAGCAGCAATGATTCTGGGAGTAAGCAGAAGTTGGGAACTGAACATTCTGATATAACAGATACTCCTGTGACCACACTGGATGTGAAAGGCATAGTCAGAAAATGTCTTTCTGAAAATAAGATTTGGGAAGAAAAACTCTTCGTAAATAAGAGGGATATGATTAATGAAACAGCAGAAACTTCCAATCAACAACAGTCACCTTCAAGGCAGAATGAGCCTGTCAAGCCTATCAAAGAGGAAGAAATTTTTGAAAAGCCAGGTGTAAAAAGAAGCTTTGAATTAGTGGACACTAGTCCTTGTCAGGAATTTAACTATGTTAAAAAAAGTAATGCAGAATATAAACGTGGCTGTCAGATCTCAGAATTTCCAGCAAAAAAAAGGACAGGTTTGACAACAGAAATTCAGTCCTTAATGCTTTGTGATGATGGATGCCTACATGACACCTGCAAAAGCACGGAAGTTAAGCATTTTATTGGTAACCAGCAAACTGTAGAAAAATCATTTACTCCAATTATAGCCAAAAATCTTATGTGTTATCTGGATGCAGACTATGAAAAGGATGATAAAAAGGAGTACATGAACTCAAGTTTTTTAGGCACTGACAATGAAAAACCTTTAGGAATCCTCAGTGCAGATTCTGATTTATCATTTCCTGAAATGTCTGTTACAGAAAGCCATTTAGAAAAGCAGCTTTTAGATTTGGACAAAAGTGTTAAAGACCTCTCCTTTGAGGAACCAAAAACAGAAGGCATGCTAATAACATCACCAGAGTCCCGAGATGCTTTGCAAAATGGAGAGGAAGCACATATTGTCCAGGACTGCAAGCCATTACATCATGAAAAGGATAATGACCAAAAACACATGAAAGAAACTTACCTTGACACAGTATCTTCTCCTTCAGAAAAGATGATGGAAGCACTGAATCTCTTCAAAAAAAATGCTGTTGTTTTTCGAAGCTATAATAGTCCAATTAACATATCCAATGTATCTGAGCCATGTAGCATGGCTTCCTTAGATATAATGGATCTTTCACCTGCTTGTAGTGGCTCTTACCCAACAGCTATTACTCCATTACAGAAAGGAAGACCATATAGGGTCTATCAGGTACGTAAGGAGACACGTAGAATCTGTGCATGCATTAGACATTAGAGATCTGAAATTACTTCAGTTGTTAATTTACGGAAAATTGAAGTAGTTTGAGGTAGTCTGTCAAAGTGACCTTTGGTGACAGGCTTTCACTTACTGCACTTGTGTGACCAAAATTAGAATTTCTGTAAGAGCTTGGCAATAACTATGTGTCTGCTGGTTTGCCTCTCGTTCAATGTGCATTGTCTGTCCACGTCTCTGAGAAATCCTTTGCTCTTACAGTGAACTGGTAAAGAAAGCCTGTGCTGTTTTGTCTCATCCTACTTTTAGTGCAGTGTGGTACTTCCTTTGAGTAATTATAGGTTTCCTGATGTAATAGGTAGTCTTTGATTTTTCTTTTCTTTTTTTTTTTTTTTTTTAATCCTGCATCCCTCCCAAGATGGTCTGCAAATGCTTGCTATAACTGCTATTGTGCTTGGTATTTTCTTTTTTCTTTTTTTCTTTTTATCCTGGTAAAAGTCATTGTGTAATGTGTACTGTCAAGTACCAATTACAAGCCTATTACAAAGATGGATGTAAACAGTAATAGTTGCTTGCAGGTTATGAAGTTTTTGCTTTGACCTTTTTAATCCTTCTGATAGTAAGCAAAAAAAAATCTTGTCCTAAAGTAAATTTAGAGCCCCAATGTGGGAAAAGCAAAAGTATACCTTTCAGTCAGTGTTTCCTCTTTCATTTTGGCATAGCTTTCCAAGATGTTCATCTAGTTACGTAGGTTATAGTTGTAGGATTTAACGCTTTCTGACAGAACTGGCAGCGTGTTGAATGATTTGGTGTACCAAAAGGGGACATTCAAAACGTTATTTTTGGGGAAGCCTTTTTTTCTCATGTTTTTGAATTGCTAGCTTCTGTTTCAGCTGCATAAAATTTTAATTGACTATAAAACTTAGCTTCCATTCAGCCGAAATGGAGTCAGAGTAGTATGCACTGCATCTCCTGAGAAGTAAATGACTGATGGCATTATATGTTTTTGTAACTTAGATTTGCACAGGAGGATACCTTTTTTTATATACTTTTGTGATTCTTTTTAAAATCACATCATTGTGAGCTGATTACCTGTTTTCTGTTTAATAGCGGATTCTGTAGCCTTTATGGCAATAGTGATAATGGATTGACCTCTGCTGCACTGAAGATGAAGTTGGAAACAAAATTATACTAGATATATGGGAATTAAGGGTATATTAAAAAATAAAGAATGAGAGTCTCTGCAAAATAATTTAGTAGTATTTCCAGGTCATAACAGGAAATCTTTCACTGCAGTCAGCCTACTGGCTGTGAGAATTTATTCATCTCTCTGCAAGCCTGCATGTTTTATCTTCAAATAATGTCCCAAATTACTTTCAGAAGTTTCATGTTTGAAAGATTTTGAAAGATTGGGTTTTTTTGAGACATCACTTATGGATTTGACAGTGGAGGAAGAACTTAGGTAAGATTTTCTTAAAGAGTAGGCATCAATTTGCCTCAACCATCTTGAAGCATAAGAAGTTAAGAAATAGAAGCACATTTCACACATACTTTTTCAGGGAATGTACATTTTGTGACATGTTCTTGCCTTGAACTTAAGTATCAACTGTTACACCCGTTACTAAACCTGGAGATGGGAGTTTCTCAGCTGGTTTTGTTTGACATCTGAAATCTGTGTTGCATCTTTTAAGACACCTCATCAGGGAGATGCTGGCACACCATATAGGACTCCAAAGAGCGTAAGAAGAGGAGCTGCCCCAGTAGAAGGTGAACGCATCCTAGGGACCCCAGACTACCTGGCACCTGAGCTGCTTTTGACAAAGCCTCATGGTAAGACAAACAATAATACTTGAAATGGAAGTACTGGAAATACTTGAAAGGTGACATATTTACATTTCTAAAAGAGCTCTAGAGTTCTAAAGCCTTCAAGGAATAGGATAGTGACTTCTTTAAAAATAACTAGTGCTTAGCTTTTGCCAACATGGATGTCTGTGTTTGCTTCAGCTGCTCCTTCCAGTTATTTGTTTCTCATGACTGGAGGTTTTGACTGTCCAGTGTGGTCTTGCCTCCTGCTAATCTAATGTTTTGGAAGCTGTACTTAGGCAGCCTGAGACTTATATGTGGCTTAGGAATCACACATTTGTTGTTCTGAGTGTCCTTAAAGATTCTTCAGGTTAGGGAGAGGGAACTTGGTGAAATTTAGTATGAAAGGGTTAATATAGAATATTAACCTCCAATAACCTCCAATAGAATATAGAAAGTGTTCCATGTTTCTGGATATTAGTGTTGTGTGCATCCAGACAAGTTTATAAAGTTACATTCAAATCAGTTATTGAGTTGTGTGATCTCATTCAACACTTAAGATTTCTGGCAGGATCTTCCATATAAGTGGACAGTAGTAGCCATCAAATTTTTTTTTTTTTTTTTTTTGCAAAGTACCACAGGAAAATCAAATAGCACAACTTTGTAGCGCATAACTTTCTTTGGCTCAAATCCTGAGCTCCATGGAGATCAACGAAAATTCTGAAATATTTTCCTGCTAACTTGCAAGAACCATTAACAAAAAATAAATGCAATGTATCCCTGATACATTTGTTGTACTTACAGTTACATTTTATTTTCATCGCAAAAGTATACTTTTATTTTGTAGAGCTAATAGTCTTAGGAAAATTATCTGAGATATGAGTTCTTCATTGAGCAATAGTGATTACTAATCTGTGGAACAGCAAAATTTTGCTGTATGCAGCCAATATACATTAACTAACTGCATGAAGAGATTTAACAATTTAACTGTAACGACTAAAACTACTAAACACAGGTAGCTGTTGTTTTGCCGTTCTATTTAGAAATCCTGGTTATTTGGCAGGCATTAAAACTGGATAATAGTTTGGAAATGTAATCAATGCTACTTAGACAATGTGAAACTTGGTTGTGAGGCGACTTCCATGCAATTATTGAGTGTTTTCAGGACTCCAGTGATAACGTGCAAAAAGTCTGAGTGTTATGTCAGGAAATTGCAAATCTCCCATTACCTTCAGTGAAGCCAGGGGTTTCTGGCTTCAGAACTCAACTTTCCCTTGCTAAATATTTCTGGCGGAGTTAACTTGCTTGTAAATATAGTTGTAATCCTGAGCTATAATCACATTACAAAACTATTTTCTGTTTCTAAATTAGATTTAACATTGCCATCTTTCTTTATCGTTGAGTGACTACTTTAAGAAAAAGATCTGCATTCCTATGCCTTCAGAGAATCACACTTGATAGTTGATGTTTGTATTTGTTAGGTTTTTTGCAATAATTGTAATGTTCTTGCTTCGTTGTCTTTTCATACGCAGGGACTCTGATCTCTGGTGAGTTTGCTATATACTGTGCAGAAATGGAGTGTTCAGCCATAACTGTGAACAGTCAAAGTATAACTAGATCACAATTTCCAAGAAAATTGTTTGGGTGAACAATGTTTCTATGTAGAAAGATATGTCCAACATGCACCCCACATGAGAATGTGTGATACTTCCACAAACGATTCGGGAAACATCAGTATCACTGTGACTAGCCTATCAGAAATCACACTTCAGCCTGTACTTCAAGAGTAAAGTCAGCATTCTTAAAGACATTGTGTAACGGGAAATAAACCAGAGAAACTTTTTCTCATTGCTTCCTTTCACTCTGTGATCTGTCTGAATTACTCTGTGCACGGGTGAAGAAGGCTCAGATGCTCAAGACCTGATATTTCTGTTTCTTGCTTCACATGTTGATAGATGCGATTTAGCAGGGATATGGTAGGAGTTAATCTCATCTTTAGTTAAACTTTGGGTGGGAAAAATTGCTGCCGAAACATGTGTTACTACATTGTTCAGAGTTGTGATCTTACTAGACTTTGACTGAAGCTGGGAATATTTTATCTGAACATCCAAGTACCTCTAACAACGGTGGATGTGATCTCACTGCTTTGATATGCTTAGCTTGGTGGGGCACTCTTACTGCTGTTAAAAGTTGCTAAAAGTGCATTAGATTACTAGTTATACATTTCAGTTTTCAGCATTTCTAAACTTAGTCAGTAGTCCTTTTGAAATGGCTCAAAATATTTGTTTTCTTAACTTGGAGGTGTCTTAATTTTTTTATATGCCAAAAAAAGACAAGAAAAACTACATTTATTCTCTTTCAAAGACTTTCTTGCAGCAAGTGTGGCATCTATTCTTTATACAATGGAGTGGGCATGGCTTAAAGATGCAGAAAGCTTAGAATGCATGCAGTGCTGCCTGGGATTGCTTTGCCTGCTTGTTTTTAAGTAGGTTAATAAAATGGGTTTGGCAAAAAAACCCTGGAACATGGCAAACCAAAATTATTTAGTAATAAAGGAGAGAGACCTAGTAACTACTCACTGCCCTCATCAACTTTAGTGTAATGGAAAGTAATTCCAGCTTCTTGTGTGCTGGTTCATTCTGCAAGCCGTCTTCAATATTTTGACATACATTTAGACAAATGAAAATTAAGTTCAATGGTTTGAATTAATTTCCAAGAAATTTTGCAGGATTTAAACACTCTTCAATTTCTGCCATGGCTAATCTTCAAATCTTTGCAAATATCATTAAACCTTTGTGTTAGTGTAATGACCTGGATTTCTCTTATCAGGTTCTGCTGTAGACTGGTGGGCCCTTGGAGTTTGTCTGTTTGAGTTTCTAACTGGAATTCCACCTTTCAATGATGAAACACCAACACAAGTCTTCCAAAATATTTTGAAAAGAGGTAATCCGTTTCAGTAATTGGGGAAGGCATGTATATCCAACATTTGCTTTATGGTTTGAGTTACCGACTCATCTGCATCTCTGTCTGTAGATATTCCCTGGCCTGAGGGTGAAGAAAAGCTGTCTGATAATGCCCAAAATGCAATAGATATTCTTCTAACAATTGACAGTACTAAGAGAGCTGGACTGAAGGGTTAGTATTAAAATTCTCTTGTGTTCTTTGCAACTAACTAAAAAGTTCAGAGTGGTGATGTCCTCCTGCAACGTAGACTAATAAACTTTAATGCCTTTTTAGGTTCCATGTATAGTGCCAGAACACTTAACAAGTTGTGGTATTTTTTGTATTACTTGTGGGATTATGCCCTTTTGAATAAGGGAATTTTTGGGGGGGGGTGTGTGGTTTTTTTTATTGAACTTTTGTTTTGCTTTAATGCTGTTTTGCTATGGATGTTTAATGTTTGACATCTGATGTACCAAAGTTCACTCTTATCTAACTCAATAACAGGTATTTGGGGTTTTTACCTAATAGATTTTATGAACCTTCATTAAAAGCCTATAGTTTGGGAGAGAAGCCTCCTACAAAAGTTAATTCAAAGGAGCTTTTTCTTAGGAATCAGCCTGTCTTTACTGAATGTATAGGGGAACACAGAGTTACACAGTATATATTATACAGAGTCTATATAATTTTTTTCCTTTGTAGGATGACTAAATATGTGCTGTTGTAACAGCAACTATATTTTATTAAAAAAAAAAAATTGGTAACATGAAGAAATCTTAGAGTGAAATATTTTGGGAAAAGAGGAAGAAATCTTATGAGAAAACTGCCCAAGAAATCACTAGAGAAGGAAATTATTATGGAAATGTTTAGCCATAAAGAGACTAAAGGCTAGAAGCTGAAACCAAGCCAATTCAAACTGGAGCAGGCACACAGTTATAAATTAAGATCATGATGTCATCAGGGCATTTTGTAGCTCTTTAGTATCTCCTAAAAAGCCCCTAATGTCTTAATTTGAAGGTGTTTTAGTTAAACATGTTATTGTCTTTATTCCTGGATAATAGGGTGAAATCTAGTTACCTGTCATGCATAGAAATTTAAACTAGATTGGAAGAAACCGTTATGTCATCTGAAGTTCTGGAAATTCATTCTTTGTCAGGACCTTTTAACTGTATCTGATCTCTTTATCCAATTTATAGGCCTCTGAAGTGAAGCTGGATGAGTAGCTTTCAGGACAACCATTAAGTTTTTTTTCATTCCATCACTGTTATCTTCTCCCCCCTCACCAATACACGTACTCTTCCTCTCTCTGTTTTTTCCAGTGTAAAGCCTAACTTAGTGAGAAATCCCAGTTATGTCATGTCCTAGTGCTGTGCTTCTGTGGGTTCGGTCTTTCCAGATAAGAAAGCTTTAGAGCAGTATTTGGCAGAGAACACTGGTATCTGAAGTTTGGGTTTTCTTCTTTTCCCCCCTTCTTCAAAGACGTGGGCAGGAGCCGCTGGCTATGGCATACATAATACTTCTTTGCAAAAGACAATGAAGTCTGCTCACCGTTTTGGCTGAAGACAGCTTTCAGTGTGTGAGAACTTTAAGAGCAGAACTACACACACTTCTGAGATAACAGTGGATCTGTGCAGTGTCCTGAAGCCATTAGAAGGAGTTAGAAGACTAACCCTCTGATTTATTGCCTTTTGTCTAAAATAAAGTTTAGTATTGTGTTTATATTATTTGATCAGGAAATGTAGAAATAATAAGTGTTAATGTCTTGCAGTCTATCAGCTAAAAGCCTGTGGTATGTGCTTAGAATTAAAATTTGTAGTGAGTGTTTGTCTTGATTGAACTTCCACCTCCTTCTAAATGTGGTTTGATTTTTTTTTTTTTAACCTGTCCTATTTTTTCTATTTGCTTTTGATTTTTGTGGTGCAAGTAGTAAAAACATGGGTTTGTATCCCACTTGGCTGAAAAGGTGCTTTCTTGGACTGAGTCAAAGTAGCAAAATCACTTTCATCAGGGAGTGGTGTTTCCAGGAAATGCAAAAAAACACATCCGATCCTGTGTGCCAGGAGTCGCTTTTTGGTCAGAACGGACAGGGCAGGGGAGTTCTCCTTGAGTCAAAGTCTTGTGGCTTGGTTAGTTATCCCACCGCCAGGCTGGGAAAGAGGAATCCGGTGATCAGTGGTAACTTCACCATAAGGGTGTTCAGACTTTGGTGCCTGGTGGTAGGCCAAAGGGGACTGCACAAAGCAGAGGAGGAGCGCTCCATGAGCTAGCAAAAGGCAGGTGGCTGGGAGTGGAGAAGGGTGGGAGTGACTCCCGTGTGTCTACTCAGCACAGAACTTTGGCAAAATTAGAAACAGACTTTGAAGTGATGCTTAAAATTTCTGTGGTGCCCTATCATGAGAAATGCCCCTAGGGCACCTCTGATCCAGTATGTGCGCTGTGTAGAATAGGTTCTCCAGCTAGGGGAAGATGGTTAGGTGGCATGACAATAGTTTGATCCCACTGAGGTTGGGGGTAATCAAAACCCAATTGCAGTTTGCACTTTTGTGAATTTCTAAAACAGCAAAACAGAGCAAATCTACTGAGAGCTATGCATCAAGGGAACAAAGTGACTATGGGGCTTGGACAAAAGGAAGGTTCTCATGCATATATGAACTTCTGTTTCAGAATTGAAACATCACCCCCTCTTTCATGGTGTGGACTGGGATAATCTCCAGAATCAACCTATGCCGTTTATACCTCAGCCAGATGATGAAACTGATACCTCTTACTTTGAAGCTAGGAATAATGCTCAGCACCTCACTGTGTCTGGATTTAGCTTATAACATCAAGATAAGTGAACTTTTATCCATGTTTTTGCACACTTACAGGTTGTCCTCTAACACTAGTTTGGTCTTAACTAAGATTCCTTGCCAAATTTAGAGTGTGTTTTAAGTTATCAGCCCGTTTTTATTATTGTATCCTTTATTCTAAAGTGAAACTACTGTACAAAACTTAGCTGGTATCAAGTGCTTCCATGCTACTTTTTCTCACTTAGTGCACCTTACTAAGAGGCCAGAGTGTTGTATTTCTTGGAGCTAATAACACTTGGCAATGATGGGGCTTTTTTAATAGCAATAAGTAACTCCTGTTAGGAGGTGTGAAGTTATTTCCCAGCTAAGCATGCTAGGGAAAGGACATAAATGCATGCTACTTATATCTAATTATAATTACCTATTGGTGGTTCAGTGTGGTGGCAGTCTTGTTTAGCAGTAGTCCTTTCTGACCAGTTTGAATATCTATCCACTGTGCAAAACTGGTATTTTTTTATTCAAGGTGGAAAATTGAAATCTTAATGCAGCACTGAAACGTCTTACTTCTGTTTATCTTATCCCAAGAAGGGTTGAAAGACAGTGTTGTTCAAAGTTAACTCGGCTAGGTGTGGTGTGCGAGAATGACAGTAGTTCCACTGGTTATTATCCTTTCCTAGACAAAGGGGAAGGGAAAGGATACTTGGGGCAAGTCTGTTTAAATTGTTGCCTTGTAACCACTTACGCTGTAGGACGATGGACTGAACGGCATAGATTTTAGCAATTACTTGTTTTAAATAGAAAACGCTGAGTATATGTGTTTGTCCTTACTCATGTCAGATGATAGAAAACAAAAAATCACCTGAGTGTTAGCTAACAAGTGAAGTATTATTCATACTGAAGCTGCTATACATTAAAGACTATAATGCATTGCAAATTAACAGGCTGCTGTTCTGTAAACTCACAAACAGATCTCAGATTTTACTAAACTTAAGTTACAAGTGTATATTCAGTGTTATAAATCCTAATTAGGGGGAAGTATATTTAAATCTATTTTCAAATGCAACACAAAACTTGCATCTGCTACATTTTGGAGGTTTGTTTACAGGTAATTCTGTTTAAATTATCTTCAGTATTTTTCTTGCATAGGTATCTTTCTCAGCTGACTTACTGAAGATTTTATTTTTCAGGTTTGTACTTGCTAGATTAAGATCAATTGTGTTAGATGGTGGTGCCAGCCAGGGGCCGTGTGCCAGAAGCCAGGAATTTTGCTAGTGATTTTTGCCAAGTGGCTTTTGAGTCTCATGAACTGACCCTTCTTGCAGGCGGAGCAAGTTGTCCCTTCATTGCCCTGCTTCCTGGAAAACAAGATTTATTGATGGAATTCTGAGCAAACAGTATCTGCTAGGCTTCCTGCTGTCCCCTCAGGTGGCTGGGGAAGGAAGGGGAATGGTGGAGGAAAAGGAAGTTTCCTAGGACCAAAAGAGAGCTAATTCGTAACAGCTCAGAATGACAAATCCCAGCCCTAGGTGTGATAGCTCAAACAGTGGAACAGAATCTTGGCAGGTTGCAAAACATACAGTGACTCTCAGTCCCTTTGTGAAGGACTTGCGTTTCAGAAAACTTGTAAATTGTTGAATCTTACTGAAATTAATGTTACATGAAAAAGGTGCAAGCAATCAGATGTAATACATTACTGAAGCAGTATCCGTAGACAACATTCTCTGAATATGATGGGAAGTTCTTCAGCATTTTTCCTGTGTATAGTTAGAATATATAAACTGGGGGAGGAGGAATACCTTCATTTAAGTAATCACTGGTATTTTATGCAATTTTTCTTCCATTTCTAGTAATCTGGTTTAAGAAAACTAGTCTTACAAGAATGAACCTCAGTTTCATACTGAGGAAAATACTCTAAAAATGTGTTAGGAAATGATGTAAACTGAACACCACAACAGCTCTTTGTCTTCAGTACTTCACAAATGGTTACAACCTGTTCCCATTTTGCAGGATGATACATTTCCTTCAAGGGAGAAAAAACTAGTTACAGTGGTATGACATTCTGAAGATAACCTCTAACCCCTTGAAATAGTTCTTAATCAGCTGCAAGGGTCAAGTAAGCTTCTACCTGAACTTTTTCTTAACCCATCACAATGGACTACAGAACTGCTAAAAAGTCTTTTAGGTAATCTAATGCTAGCGTACACAGACCTGGTGGTGATAGTACACCAAAACATTAGGCATAAAGAATCTTGTTAACTTACTATTTTCTAATAAAAACCTCAAACCGTCTTATAAACACCTTATTCTAAAAGAAAATTATGATTCTTCTACCATAGTTTTATAATGCAATACAAAACCATAAATTCTGTAGAACAATAAATAGGCCAACTGACAAATCGAATGTCTAACTTAAACACTTACCACTACACTGCTGCCCCGAACTGTTAAATCCTGCACAGTTAGCCCTGAAGCCTTGCAATACCCCGTTCTCTTCAGTATCTTGCATTTATCCTGATCATAGCAAACATGGAGTTCAATTTAACAAGTAGATTGCTGGGGTTTGTGGTGTGGTTTTGTTTGTCGTGGGGTTTTTGTGGTTTGTGTTTTATTTTGGTTTTTTTGTAGTGGCATGGAGGTTTTGTTTGTTAAAAAGGTGAATCCTAGCTTTATTCTTCAATATGGAATTCCTTAATACCACTGTTTTTGCCCCACTTATTGCTTGCCTTGAAATACTCCAGGGAAAAGTATAAAAGCTATGATGTAGCAGCTGAAAGAGATTAAAGTTTCTTCTCATGAGTAACCAACTACAAATACTTGTGTAAGCTGGCAAAAGTTTCTGGTCCTTAGAAGCTGTGGAATACCACTTGGCAAGTACTTTAGCTGTTACATGGTGTTTCTTGAAGGCCTAAACTTTCTTTATGTGCCTCACCTACAAACTCTGTAGCTTCTAGGTTATCTTGGGAGACAGTTTATCTGCTATTAGCTGGACACAAGTGTGCTAAAAACTGTAGAGATTAGTAACTGTCACACTTTCTTACACAGAAATAGCAGTCTTGGACAACTATTACTGCCACTAACTTGCTGTTAGGCTCACCTATACGCTGAGCAACGTTTGGAGGCCAAGATACTAAAATGCTGCTGCGTGTTCTTGAGCTAGTAGGTCCAGTTTCAGCATGATCAGGTTTACCTACGGGTTACTTTTACAGTAAAATGTGTTCTTTTCCTCTCTACTATGTTCTCAAAATATTTACTTTGCACACTTTTGTGTAAATATATAAAATAAAATACTGTAGCCTTGCTGTTGCTTGCTTCTGCTTTTTTTTAATCTTTAAACTATCTTATACTTTTGACCCTGCTGGGGTGTGGGAGGCAGATTTTTACACACAGAAACCCTGACTGTTTTCCCCCTGGCCCCAGCAAAGACAGTGATTGTAAGTAGGGAAACTCCTAATACAGGTGTGTATGCCCTTCAGTTCATAACTTGCTAACGCCCTCCTGCAGTCTTCATTACAAGCTACGTTTGTGTGTTTAGTAGCAGGAGAGCAGAGTCCTTAGACCATCTGTAACTCCTGCTGGGAGTCTGCTCCTCTGTGGTAACTAAAAGGAGTCAAGGCCGACGGTGGCTCCACAGGCCCGGAGCAGGAAAGAAACAGCTTGCCCACACACATGCCTGGTGCGGTGCTGGTTCCCTCAGCTGAGTCCCTGGGCGTAGGTGGAATGGCTTCCATCTGGTTTCACCCAGAGCAAACCTATGCTTTTTTAGATGAAGTTGGATTTTGCTGCAGGAAGCTAGCTGGATATTTACTTCAAAAGTGCAATTTTGAGCTGGGTCTAGATGTTGCCAGTGCTATGCAGGACTGTTTTTGACTGCCAACCCTCCTGAGGAGAGCACCAGCTAGAACAACATATCCCAGTTCTGACCTCCAATCATCTGCTTATGCCCCTTTCTCCAAGTTAAAGCCATGTCTCCTTGTACCAGGGCAAATAAACAAATAAATCATTTCTGCTTAAGCTGAAATACCAGCTAACTAGGAATCTCTTCAAGTTACAGTGAGTTTGAGATATCCCTAGCAGCTGAGGCCCAGTGATGAGTTACAAGTAAATGGTTATAACAGTGATGATGTGCTGAATGAAACTTTAAGAATGAGACTGCTTCTTCATAAGGTAGCCAGCAGGCTCTTCTGTACAGCCAAAGCATCCAGCGTACAGCGTTTATCGACATTCAGAAAGTTCAAGATAAAATACAAAATATTAAGGGATTGGTTTATTGAAACATGAATAAATAACAAGGATGGCGCACGCCTACATTTATTCCAGCGGGAAGTTAGCAGTTAAGTACCTTTGAGAATGTCTGTACCACCTCTGAGAGCTAGACGCTGACCTGTGACGGGGTTATGGGCTGGGGGGAGGCACGGCAGGGTGCCTCCTCTTGGCAGAAGACATGCTGCTGCAGGAGGTTTTCTTTTTTAAAGTGACCTTCAGGCTAGAGTATCCTTCCTGCATGATCATTTCTATCCTTTAATGATAAGAAGTCGATCACTCGAGGAACTTTAAGCTACAGGCACAATGGCTTCAGGTCCCAGCAGAGCTTCCCTTCCAGCACAAGCTTTGTTCAAACCTGAGTTTTCAGTACCTCTCACGGCAAAACTTATCTCTGGCACGTGAAACCATCTGATCGTTACAGCAGTCTTCAAAGAGGTTCTCATTATTTTATTTTTTAATTCAGCTTTACAATAAGAAAAATCAGAAGAGGGGAAAAGTAACTCTTAAAAAACCACACTTAACTAAAAACAAGATTAAAATTGCTCTGGTAAAACAAACATTACATTCTGTGATTACATCTTTATACAGTATAGCTTGTATGAAAAATGAACTATAAAAGATTTTCAGGAAGGACAAAAAATAACTTTCCTCAAAAACTATTTGTAGTATGTAGTCCAGGTGGAGAATGAAAGCACATCAATAATAGGGTGAAATTTCTGAAGATTTAGATCTTAAACACGGGTTATGTTATGATGGAATTCTTTATAGCA